GCGGTGGAAAATAACAAAAGCAACAAGAGCAAAAGGGAGGAGCGGAGGCCAGCAGCCTCTTTTCCTCCTTTATACTGTATGCAAGCTACCTGTCCCAGGGCAGGTGTAGCACTCACCCCCATAATCCCAGCATGGGACCATGCATCAATCAAAAACTCTAGAAGCCCATCCCATGACTGTGTGAGGCTTTGGAGGAACATCTAGACACAAACCATAACATTCCACTCCTGGCCCCACCAAAGACTCATGCACATCTTGCACAAAAGGCATTTTAGTCCATCTCTAAGAGTTGCCCAAATCCTCAGGGTGTCAGCATTTCTGAAAAGTCCAAGTCCCACATCTCCTCTGAGTGCTAAGGCAAACTCTTAGCTGTGAGCCTTTGTACAAATGAAAAGGTAAACACTTTCAACGTCCAATGGCACAAGATAAACATAAAAATTCCAAAAGGTACAAATGGGGATGCAAAGCACTGGGACCACAGCAGGTCCAAAATCCAACGGGGAAAACATTAAGTCCTGAACCTGGTTTTGAGGAACAGATTCTCTAAGTTGCCACCATTCTGGGACCTCATATGGTGGCTGACGCTGCCATTCTGGAACATGGTGCTCTGTGGCTTTCTCCTCAGAGCAAAGTCTTGATTTTGCAGGTTTGAGGCCAAAAAGGGTGGAGACTTTCTGCTTCTAGTGATGCCCTCAGGCCATCTTTTCTATTTTCCTGTCCCTTCTGAGCAATCAGGATCTCCTCAGCTCTGTCTTTGCAGTCCACAGCTTTACTGGAGCTTCCTATCTGGCCAAACTCACATTTTAAATCATCCTGCTGGCTCTTTGCTCTTGATTCTCAACGTAGATCTGGCTGAAAGCCCCCAACAATAGCCATGCCACAGCCTCAACATTCAACTGCCTTGAAATTTTTTTTCTGCCATTTTAATTAGTCCACTGCCCTTAATCTCAGTCTTGGGCAAAATCTTTGGACATGAGCAAAATGCAGACAAACTTTCTGCTAAGCCATAAGATACGTCATCTGGAGTCCAACAAACAATGCAGTCTTTCTTCTCAGCAGAAACCTCCTGAACCTCGTCATTACCACCAAGATTTTTATCAGCTTTCTGGTCTTCTGAGTTCTGACCAGAATCTCCCATACAGAACAGCCAAAGGCGTTCCAGTGCTTCTCTTTCAGGCGACATCTCTGAACCTGTCCAAATTCTTCCCACAAGCCATTTCCAAAGGCTTTTGACCCACATAGTCAGGTATAGTCATAGCAATGACCCCACTTCTCTGGTATCAAATTTATTGTAGTTTGGGGTTTTTGCAAGAGGAAGAACATAATACAGGACCTATATTTTATAAGGTTATTTTGTAATAGTCACCCAAAGAATCATATACAAAAAGACAGTGCAGGAAATCTGTCCACACACTAAAGACCAAAGAATCCAGCTGAGGGCCTGAATCCCACGGTAATGACCTGCATAAGTCCAGCAGAAGACCTACAGCTCATAACAGTGCCTCCCACTAGTCTAACTGGAGGCCCAGAGCCCATAACACTATCTCATGCAGGCCTGTTTCATGGATCTGTGCTGGAAGGCCCAAAGGTCAGTGGTGGAATTGAGAAAGTCTGTGCCAGTGGGATGAAGGATCTGTGCTAGCAGGCTGAGAGATCTGCACTGGAGCCAGGAAGCGATGCTCAAACTAAGAACCAGAGCTCCCCGGAAAGGTACCACAGCCATCCTCAGTGATAGTGAGGTTCTGAGCTCCTCCAATGATGAGGACAGCTGAGTTCCCATCAGGAAAGCCAACACGACAAGCTTCTCCAGAGACTGAGAAGTGCACAGTCTTCTCCTCCAGAGCCAGGAAGCAATGCTCAAAGTGAGGACCAGAGCTCCTCCAAAGTGAACCGAAGTCATTCTCAGCGACCACAAGGTCCTGAGCTTCTCAGACAATGAGAACAGCCAAGTTCATCAGGAAAGCCAGCAGGACAAGCTCCTCCAAGAGAACCAACAGCTCCTTACAGCTTCTAAGAGCAACCAGCAGCTTCTCCTCTTCCTCTCCAGTTCTGCCTCTTCTGCTGCAGGCAACAATCCTCAGGTGGGCCTCCCAAACCCAGCACCATGCGAACTCAGTTCAGCTGGGTGTTACAGATTGCCCACCAGCTGTCAATCTACCACAGCCAGTTTAATTGTTCCTTTGTCATTAACAGATTTTGAGGCTAAAACCTAAAAGTTTCCCTGAAGAACTCTTCTAGAGTGACAAAAGACAGTGCCCTGTAGGATCTGATACAAACAACTCTTAACAAGTGATGAATCCATGAACTGCCCAGAGGGATAGAATCCAAGTATTTCTTGGATCCATGGAAAGGAAATCAAAATGAGATACAACCTGGAATCCTGCATAAACACATCTTGAAGAATGACTATTTGGATGACAAAGTGCGGTACTAGGAACCCCTTCCTCTTCACTTTCTAGTCTGATTTTCTTGAGCGAGGTTTTTTTTTTTTTGTACCGGAATCGAACTCACAACCTCATACTTGCCAGGTGGGCGCTGTGCCACTGAGCTAAATCCCCAGCCCCTAGTCTGATTTTCTTCATGGCTGCTGCTTGACCTGTAGTTTTTTTTGGCACAGGGAATTGAACTCAGGACCTTGTGGTTGCCAGGCAGGCGCTGTGCTGCTGAGCTATATCCCTGGCCCTTGACCTGTAGTTTTGTATCTACGCTTATGTACAACTCCATAAGTACCTTCCTTCTCCAGTTTTCTCTATTTTGGTATAGTCTTCTATAGCTGTTCAGCAGGTATGGTGGATTCTGGTGGATTGTCCCACAGCAGCTGTCCTTGCCTGAGTCTCTCCTGGAGACTTACTTTTTTTTTTTTTGAGGCAGGGTCTTGCTATTCTGTTTAGGCTGGCCTTGAGCTCATTTTGTAGCCCAGGCTGGTCTTGAACTCACAAAGATCCTTCTGCCTTAGCCTCCTGAGTGCTGGGATTACAGGCGTGCGCCACCACGCCCGGCAAGACTTAGTCTTTTTGCCCATTATAATTCCCTGGAAATCCATCGAAGTTGTTGTCTATCAATAGTTTGTACCTTTTCGTTGCTGAGTGTCCCATGGTTTGGATGTTCCACAGTTTGTTTAACCACTCATTCACTGAAGGAACTATTTCCAGTTTTTCACAGTTTTGAATAAACAGTCTGTAAAACTTGTTCGTGTGTGGTCCATGTACAGATTTACAGCCAGGTGCTAAAATACAGTTTCGCATTAAATGGTAGAGGGTTTACAGAGGCCTGGTCAAGAAAGTATGAACCCAGGATTTGTAACTCCAGGTACTGGAGGTGAGTAGAAGTGTAAAATGTGAGAGGGAGAGGAGGGGGAGTCCAGATGGAAGGAGCTGCTGGAGTTTGCAACGTTTAGAGGTGGACAGGAGAAGAAAAGAGTAAAGGAGCCTGGCAAGGAGTTGCCTGGAAGGTAGCCAAGAAGGGCGAGTTGCAGGGTGTGTTGGGTGCTTGTCCAAGTTACTTTCTCCTTGCTGGAACACCATACCCTGCACCAGTGGTGGCGAACTTTTTAGAGCTTTCAGTGATAACAAACAGCCCCCATGGCACGTGTGCAATAGGTTTGACACCACTGCCTATACCCACAACTGTAAAGAGGAAAGGTTTATTTTGGCTCACCGTTTGTAGAGGTTTCGGGCCATAGTCACCTGGCTCCAAGACAGGCAGCAGGGCAGAGGGGCTTGGAGGAAGGTTGCTCATGGCAGGGCAGCAGGGCAGAGGGGCTTGGAGGAGGGTTGCTCATGCAGAGTAGCAGGGAGCAGAGAGAGAAATCAAGGTGGGAGGAGGGAGAGAGATCCTTCCAGGCCACACTCCCAGGGGCCCACCTCAGCCAACCAGACTTTACCTCCCAATTCACATCCAGCTGTAAACTCTTCAGTGGACTAAGCTACAGATGAGTATCACATCATCTCCCTCAAAAAATGCCTCCAGTGCCTGAGGCTTTGTGGGAAGACGTCTAGATATAAATATAGCAATGCTGCTAGAAAGTCTTAAGCCCCACTAGAACAGTGCAGGAGGATTGGAGAGTGGATAGGGAAGACAGAGGATGAAGACGCCCCTCACCAGATACCGGATGTTGAAGGATGATTGATGGGAGGGAGAGCAAGGATGCCTGAGTACAGACCTGTGAGATGGGTGGGGTGTAGGCGAGGAAGACGGGGTAATGTCATTTCCAGAGGCACTGTGTGGCTTGTCTTAGAGGCAGCCTTGAGTAAGAAGGGAGCCCAATCTAGCAGGAGCTTCAGGGCTGGAGGATTGTTTATGCCAGAGGAAATCAGTCTAGGATTTGAGAGTCTCAGGCCCATCGTCTTTCTAGCTTTTTCTTTTTTGTTGGTGCTAGGGATGGAACCTAAGGTCTCTGTACACTTTGCCACTGAACTACACTCCTGGTCCCTTTTATCTACCATTCATTCATTCATTTATTTGTGGTGCCGTGGATTAAACCCAGGGACTCGTGAATGCTAGGACTCATCCCCAGCCTTTCTTATTTTTTCACTTTGAAACAGGTCTTGCTAAATTGCCCAGGCTGGCCTCGAACGTGTAGTGCTCCTTTCCCTGGGACTATAGGCATGTATCACCTCACCTGGCTCTTTCCAGTGTTTTGTCTTGTGATCCTTAGGTTTGGCCACACGGTTCTTATTCTTTAGGAAGCAGAATGGGGGATGGGACAAGGAAGAGGGCCACCTGCCAGGCAGCGGTAGAACTCTTCCTTGCTGCATCTGTAGCACCGTAATTTCCCTCCTCGCAGCCAGAAAGTTGAGCTGCAAGAGAGGCTAGGGAATGTTAATTGTTATTCTGGGACCGTGTTTCTAGCCTCAGATCTTCAGAGGCAGGCAAGAATTACATTGAGGCACAGCCAGCTGTCTTTGCCCTGGTGGTTTTGTGCTTGTTCTGGCCTGTGAGGCTGATGTCAGAACAAGTGGTGGGCCCGCCTTCCACAGAGCCTGCGTTGCCTTTCTCAGGAATGGACAACCAGACCGTTCTGGCTGTTCAGTCGTTGTTGGATGGCCAAGGAGCAGTCCCTGATCCGACAGGCCAGAGCGTCAGCGCGCCCCCTGCCATCCAGCCACTGGGTGAGTATCTGCGCTGCTCATCGGCGAAGGGTGAGTGACTCCTCACGCGGAGCAAGGGGGGCTTCTGCAGGGTTGGCAGTAACTGCCACTGTGGCCTCCAGGCTGTTCTCGAGTGTCTGAATCTTCTCCCTTCCAGCCTGGCGCTTCAGGTCCATGCCTTTCTCTGTTAGCTCTAAGGACGGCCTCTTTCACCTACTTAGTGAATGTGGGGAGCTGGCATCACGATAGGGAGTGGGTAGGCGCCTCGGTGCTTGGCAACAGTTGCACGTCAGCCCCAGAAGTACTTCCTCGGCCCACTCTCCCTCTGTGGAAAGAATGGGCAAAGCGTGAGCTCTCCGATTTACCGAAAGTCCCCTTATGAGTCATCTGTGCATTTATTTGCTCTACAAATTCTCTTGAGTACTTGGGAACCACTCTACGGGTAGGGAGATAAAAAGCTGGTTTGAGCCAGCTGTGGTGGCACAGGCCTATAATCTCAGCACTCAGGAGGCTGAGGCAGGATTGGTGAGTTTGAGGCCAGCCTGGACTGTGTAATGAATCTGAACCCCTTTTCCCCCAGAATGTTTTGAATCCTTGTTTCCATAGTTCCTGACTCTGTGGCCCTCCCAATTCACATTTAGCTGTAAACTCTTTAGTGGACTAAGATACGGGATGTATACCAGATAAGTAAGTTAACTTGTGTCTCAGTTTCCACATCTGTGAAATGGGAATAATTGTTCTAGTTTATAGAAACCTTATTAGAGACTTTGAGACTTGGTTTTAGCTGTTGTACATAAGAAACAAAGTTTGGTATGGTTTATGCAGAATTAAAGTTTAAAGTTTATTTTTCTGATAACAGAGCCTGGATGGCCGTTGGAGGTGGTTATGGTAGTGTCTTTGTGTGGCTCCGCTGCCTCACACACAGTCTGGGGTGCTGTCCTCCTCCCACTTTGATGTCTGCTTCCCAGCCAAGATGAAGGATAGAGAGAAGTAGAAGTCTTTCCTTGTCCTTTTAAGAAAAGTTGCATTTACAGCATGCTCTACCCGCTCCCACTGAGCAGCATTCAGTCACATGACAAGCCTGGCTGCAAAGCAGGCTGGGAAACATACTTGTCTTTGTCCCTTTCTCATCGCTGGCATGCAGCATCTGACACCCAAACGTAACGGGGAGGAGGTTTACTTTGGCTCACAGTTTCAGTCCATGGTCCAACGGATCCAAGGCAAAGGGGCTTGGCAGAGGAAGAGCTGCTCACATCATGGTGATCAGGAAGCAGAGAGACAAGGGAGGAACCGGGGACAGACCCTTCCAGGTTACACCCGTGACCCACCTCTCACCAGCCACACCTTCCGAGGCAGGGCAGCTGTATCACCTCCATACTTAGCCACCTTCCAAAAGCCCAGGCTAGGAGTGCACGGGGCTCTTGGGGACATCTAGGTATCAGTTGTAACAGTATTCTTTAACTAAGAAGCCACATTCCCCATGAAAATTTGTATTACTGTATAAGAAGGATACAATTAAAATTGACTATCAGGGCTGGGGAAATAGCTCAGAGGTAGAATATGTGCTTACTGTGGCTTCAGGCCTCAGGAACACACGCTCACACATATGCATACACACACAAATTCAATAACAATTCGACTTTTATTTAATTAATTAATTTATTTTTAGAGGCAGGGTCTCACTATGTAGTTCAGGCTGCCTTCAACTCACTGTGTAATCCAGGCTGGCCTCGAATTCACAGCATTCCTCCTGCCTCAGCCTCCTGAGTGCTGAGATTATGGGCATGAGCCACCATGCCCACTTGACAGACATTTCAGCTAAAAATCATTTGTTTTCCTTTAATACAAGGTCTCACTATGTTTGACAGGCTAGTTTCAAACAAATGAGCTCAAGAGATCCTCCCACCTCAGCCTCCAAAATAGCTGCAATTATAAGCATGCACTGCTTTGCCTGACTTTTACAACATATTATATTCGTTTGTTTTTTGCACTGCTGAGGATTGAACCCAGGACCTTGATTATGCTTGGCAAAGCTCTACCCCTCCTATAGTGTGTGCATGTGGGGTATTTTTCCTGACTGGGTCTCACCATGTAGTTCAGACTGGCCTTAAACTCACTGTGTAGCCCAGGCTGGCCTCGAACTCATAGCGATCCTCCTGTTTCAGCCTCCCGAGTACTGGGGTTACAAGCGTGCACCACAAATCCATCTTACAATGTATTTTAAAGGCTTGACACAGTGCATGGCTGTTAGGCCCTTAGCAATAATGAGTGGTGGGTTTTAGCTGTAGCTAGTCACTCAATTAGCTTTTCATTCATTCAACAAGCATCCTTTGTGGACTTTCCAGGGGCCCAGGAGATATTAACTATGGTGATAAATAAGACTCATTTTCTTTTTTTTTTTTTTTTTGGTCTTTATGAGACAGGGTCTCGCTATGCAGTTCAGGCTGGCCTTAAGCTCACTTTGTAGTGCAGGCTGGTCTTGAACGTGCAGTGATCCTTCTGCCTCAGCCTCCCGAGTGCTGGGATTAGAGGTGTGTGCCACCACGCCTAGCCCATTTTTTTTCTTTAGGGGACTCATAGTCTGGTAGATGAGAAAACTGTGATGGGAGAGGTGTGGCCCAAGGAAGGAGTCATGGCCAATGGCTTTAGGAAGGCTTCCTGGAGCGGGTAAGCCTTTTAGAATGAATAGGTCTGTGAGGGGCAGCTGGGCAGGGGGAGGGGTGATGGCTTGGCCCATTTGGAGACTGGGAATAATTTCAGGCAGGATAAAGATAATGAATTTTGCCAGGCGAGGTGGTGCACACCTACAATCCCAGCACTTGGGAGACTGAGGCAGGAGGATCACCATGAGTTTGAGGCCAGCCTGGGCTCCATAGTGAGTTCAAAGCCAGCCTGAACTATAAAGATTCTGAATTTCTTAACTCGGGAGTGAACCCACTTTATTCCGTCCTGATTTCTAATTATTTGATGGCTAGCTGTGCATGGCTGGCTCTTCCTACAAGTACTTGTGTGGCTTTGGAAACTCCTAGGAAGCACTTGGTTGACGTTTGATGCACAGCAAGTCACAGAATGTCATCCAGAGGTGGTATTTTGTACCTGGCCGCAGCCTTCTCCTCTCTCTGCTATGGCGTCCCTCGACTTACTCTTTTTCCGTCACTGTCTCCTCCCTGCCACGCTGCGGCTGTGACCCCTAGACGATGAGGATGTCTTCCTCTGCGGGAAGTGTAAGAAGCAGTTCAACTCGCTGCCTGCTTTCATGACTCACAAGCGGGAACAGTGCCAGGGCAGTGCCTCGGCCCTCGCCACGGTCTCCCTGGCCCCTAGCGGCATCTACACACCCTCAGCAGCGCCTGCCGCCGTCCAGCAGGCCCCACCTCCTGCCAACCGCCAGGTATTCATTCATTCATTCATTCATTTGATTGTTTGTTCATTTGCTCATGCAGCAGGTGCTTTTGAGCTCCTACTGTGTGTCAAGGCTGTGTGTCCCACTGTGGGTGCTGGAGGTACAGTGGGGGACTGGACAGACCAAACCACTGCCCTGGTGGAGTTGGATGAGATGGGTAGTATGCAAACACATGTATAAAGATGTACCTTTTTCCAGCTTGTTAAATGTAGAGAGATAGGGAAGACCAAGATGGGGGTGGGAGGTTTTTGCCCTATTGTAGATGATATCTGGGGAAGAGTTCTGGGAGGAGGTCACCATCTAAGCAGAGATCCAAGGAGCTGAAAGGGTGAGTCATGTGGCTGGTCTGGGGAAGAATGTTCTAGATGGAAGGAGCAGCAGGTGCAAAGACCCTGAGGCAGAAGCACTGGGTTATTTCAGGAACTAGGAGGATGGAAGAGTGGCTGGGGATGAGCAAGTGAGGAGGCGGTGCAGACAGGCAGCAGGAGGGGCCAGGAATCCTGTGGGCCCTGTGGGCTTTTTACTTGGAGAGAGATGGGAGCGGATGGAGGGTTTTGAGCAGAAGAGGGACCTCATCTGACTTACGCCTTGTCTATGTCTCTGGCTGCTGTACAGAGAACAGGTTTTGATGGGGGCAAGAGAGAACAAGGCAAGAGACCCACCTGGGAGTTGCTGCTGTGCAAATGCAAGCCATGGGTGGTGGTGGCTTGAGCAGGGTGCAGGGAGTGAGACGGAGTGAGACCTCAGAAATATCTTGAAGGTTGTGACAGGGCCTGTGAGTTGATTGGGTGAGAAATGTAACATCAAGAGGAGTCAAAGGACTGGGGATGTCATGCAGCGACATAAGTGCCCACTTGGCAAGCTCAAGGTCCAGAGTTCGATTCCCAGTACCCAAAAAAAAGGAGTCAAGGGTGGCCCCAGAGTTGGAGTTGACATCATCGGAATTGGGGAGTCCTTGAAGAGAAGGTTTGGGCTCTTAGGAGTGCAGCTGGACATGTGGAGATTTTTATGTTTGTTTGTTTGTTTTTGAGACAGGGTCTTGCTATATAGTTCAGGCTGCCCTTGAACTCACTAGGTAGCCTGGGCTGGCCTCAAACTCAAGGCACTTCTCCTGTCTCAGCCTCCCAAGTGCTGGGGTTGCAGATGTGCTCTACCACGCATGGCAGATGTGGAATTTGAGGTGCCCTGGGACCTTGAGGTGGAGGCAGAGATGATGTAGACAGCGTAGACCAGGCCAGGCTGGAGGTGTCTGGAGAAGCCTCTGGAGTCCTCAGTCTAGAACATGGATTTGGATCGAGGACCCCCTGGGTCAGGGCTCTTGGTGGGATGAAAGAGTCTCTCACTGAGGGGGCTGGGAGAGTCTGAGGATGCCAGGCCAAGCGGTCTCTGCTTCTGTCCCTCACCCTTTAGAACATTATCTTCCCCCACTTTGTAGACATCATTTGTGTCTTCATAATAAAAGCATTCACCCAGCTGGGCATGGTGACCCACAGGTGTAATCCCAGTGCTCTGGGGGAAGCTGAGGCAGGAGAATCATAAATTTGAGCCTAGCCTGGGCAGCGTGTCTCAAAATAAAAAATAAAAAAAGAGTTGGGGATGTAGCAGCATGTGAAGGCCTTGGTTTAATCCCTATAACTGGAAAAAAAGAAAGAAAGAAAGAAAGAAAGGACAGACATTCATGTCAGTCCCATAGGACATAATGACTGAACTTCTCAAGTTCTCATAGACTCTTCTCATAGACTCTCTAGCATAAAACATCATTTGTCTAACTCCTTGATTATAAATTTTGTAATCCTGCCTCAGCCTCCCAGAGTGCTGAGATTACACATGTGTGCCACCATGCCTGGCTCTGATATTGTTTTTATTTATTTGTAACTTTGCCAGTAGTACAGGTTTGTCTTCTGTTTTTATTTTTGTCTTTTTGAGACAGGGTATTACTATGCAGTTCAGATTGGCTTTAAACTCACTTCGTAGCCAAGGCTGGCCTCAAATTTGCAGCGATCCTCCTGCCTCAACCTCCCAAGTGCTAAGATTACAGGCGTGGGCCACCATGCCCAGCCCCTTCTGTTTTTTAAAAGTTAAAATATTATAAATCAAAGCTTCTTTGGTGCTGTTTCTCTCCCCTGCCCCTAGGTAACTGTGGATGGATATCTTTTACAGGATACTTTGAAACATTTACTTAAGTGACTGTAGGAATTACACTATTTAGATTTTTGTTTATTGTTCATTTATTTTCCTGTCCATTGAGACATTTTATTTGTATATATGTTTTACACCCCTAAAAAAAGAATCCCAGGATTTTGCGTGCAATGTGTTTTCATCTTGTTTCGTTGTGGTCTGTGATGCCAGCTGAGGTTGTCAGTACAGTGAAACCAAACTGACAGTTTGGGAGCAGATTGTTCTGGGATCTTTCTAGGACTTTCAGCTGCACATCAGACCTGGGCTGACCACTCCACACTCCTTTAACCTGCCTGTGAGGATCCCAGCGCCTTTCCAGCCTTGTGATCATCAGTGATTTCAAATTCACCAGTGTGACTGTGCTTCATCCTCACAGTTAGAAAGAAACCAGGTGACCACTCTGGAGCAGCCTGAGGAGGCCCTGGCCTCTCCCTCCCTTTCAGTGTTGGTGATGCTCTTGAGACCGTCAGCCAGGATGTTCATGTGCACCACCGTCGTGGCACAGAACAGAAGAGTTAGGTTTTTAAAAAAAGAAGAACATGTACTCCACATGTGCAGTTTGATTTTTCATGCTATGTGGTGTTTTGTTTGATGATTCTGTTGCATTATCTTTAATGCATTTCCCTGTTGGTAGTTTTTTAGGTTATTTATAGTTTTTCATGGTTAGGAACAAGGCTGTGTGGAATCGCTTTATTTGTGGACATGTGTGAGTGTTTTCCTAGTGTAGAAACCAGGGGTATGTCTTTCTGAGAGGTGTGACTTCCTTTCTGTGTTTGGTAAGTGATTAAGTGGAAGCTCAGAGAGGTAGAGCGACTTGCTCAGGGTCACGCAGCATAGAGCATGAGAGGTGGAAACTCCAGAACCTGGGTCTTTAGTGTCATCCCCCAGCTTCCTTACAGTCTCACGGGTGCCAAGTCACTCTGTCGCCCTGTCTCCCATCCAGATCTCCACATACATCACAGTGCCCCCATCCCCACTGATCCAGACCCTGGTGCAGGGGAACATCCTGGTGAGCGACGATGTGCTTATGTCTGCCATGTCGGCCTTCACGTCCCTGGACCAGCCCATGCCCCAGGGGCCCCCACCTGTGCAGGTAAGGAGGCCACAGTCTTCTCACGGGGGCTTTTCTGTTTTCTTTGGCCGGGCTGGGGGTCAAATGCAGGGCCTTGCATATGCTTGGCATGGCACACAGGGTCTTAGTTCCAGGCTTGCAGAGTAACTCCTGCAGATCCAGGATCTTGTAGAAAAGAGGGGCTCGACTGCAGCTGCCTTCCACTGAGGGTGACTATGAGCCTTGCCCTGGGCCAGCCCCGCTGTAGTGAGAAAGCTGCCATGTTTTAGTGGGGTTTCACGGCCACAGTTCAGCTACTTTGACACCCGTTTTTATTCTTAATGAAATGTCCCAAGTCCATTAGAAAATACACAGTGGCTCCTCGGGATTCTCTAGTGCACATAGAGCAAGCAGAGGAGGTGCTCACCGTCAACCACACTGTAGTACGGTGAAAGCCCCTGGTGTGAAACAGCCTTATTAACAAGGGGATGTTCCAAAGCCATGTTTTCAGAAACCAGTCAAGAGCCAGTCGTACAAACGAGCTCCCCTTGGGATGGCAACGTTAGTGATATGTCAAAAGACCCCCCTCCCGAGGATTTACTGTTCCCCTGGTAACCTCCCCACCTCCTGGCCCAACCACAAAAGCCAACCCTGCCCATAAAAGTACCAGATGTTCTTGCAAGAACAACTGCTCTAACCACAAAAACCCCTTTCCTGGCTGTTCCGGCCCGCGAGCGCCCTCTCCGAAAAAAACCTTTAAAAACCTAAAGCTTTGCACAGCTCGGGGCTGTCTTGGTCCACTAGGCAGCCCGCCACATTGCTCTCCCGCCCAATAAAGGCTTCTCTTGTGTCAGAAGGTGTAGTCTGGTTCTGTGTGGGTCTTGGTCTGATCATTTGGTGCCGAAACCCGGGACGGATGCCGAGGCATCTGCCGGTCCCTCCCGATCAGGGGCCTAAACCCCAGGTCCGCAACTACTCACCTCTGAGCAGACCATGAGCCTCGGACCTGCCACATTGCTGACATCTTTACTCATACACCATCTCTTCCAAACCGTAAGTTTTTTGTTTCTCTCCCTTTTCCATGCCCCTCCCCCAACACCTTCAGTTTCTCTGTTGCCTCTTTCAGTCCCTCCAGGAGCCCCATCCTCGGGACACCCTCTTTGTCATCAACCAAGCTCACCTCTTGGCTTTGCTCCACCCCCACTTCTTTTCCCCTTTGGACCTCTCTGCTTTCCTTTTCCCGTCTCTCTTCCTCCAATTCTCTGAGACCCTAATTTCGGATGCCTTCCTCCAGTCCTTCCCCTCTCCTGCCCACTTTCTTGATTGACTCGACTGTGAGTCACGGGACATTCTGTGACTTTGACCGGACCGTATCGCCCTTTTCTCCTTCCTCCTTCTGTCCCGTCTCTTCTTCTCATAAAGATTCTCCCCTCCCACATCACTTGCTCTTGTCACCCGCTCCTCATTCTTTTTCCCTAAAGATCTGATTGTCGACCATCAGACGGCTCGCTCTCCCAGCTTCATGCCTATTGGCCTCTTCACCCTCTCCCAAAAGTCGGGTCGACACGCCGAGCCGCTCCTCCCCTGCACTCGATCCCCTCCTTGACCAGAGATGTCAGCTCGAGAGGCCTGGATCACTCATTCCGTTTGGGACTTCTTGTGGTCGACAGTCATCTTCAGTCTCCTCACTGGCTTCCTCACTCTCACAGTCTTCCTAGGCACCATGGACAACACCTCCTCATCCCCCAAACCCACTTATCGGTACTGGATCTTAAGGATGCTTTCTTCACCATCCCTTTACATCCCTCGTCATACCTGCTCTTTGCTTTTACCTGGGAGGATCCTGTAACTCAGATCACATCTCAACTGACTTGGACTGTCCTCCCACAGGGATTCCGGGATAACCCGTATTACTTCGGCTAAGCCCTCATGGCCGACCTGGCCACCCTAGATCTCAAACCCAGCTACCTGATCCAATATGTCAATGACCTGCTCCTGTGAAGCCCCTCTCTTCATTTCTCACACCTCCACACAGTACTCCTCCTAAACTTTCTCTCTCAAAAGGGCTACTGCGTCTCCCAGTCTAAGATACAACTCTCCCTCCCTTCAGTTCACTGCTTACGATTCCAACTCACCCCTAGCATGAGAGACCTCACTGTTGATCACAGGAAAGCCCTCCACTCTCTAGCCCCGCCCACAACCAAACAACCCATCCAATCCTTCCTAGGATTTGTGGGATATTTCCACCTCTGGATCCCAAGGTTTGCACTCCTCGTGAAACCCCTATATAAAGCCATCCATGCCCCTCCTCCGAGGAGCCAATAGGACAACCCAGGCTAATCCCCCAAGCTTTCACCGGTTGAAGAAAACCCTACTAAAGGCCCCTGCTTTGACCCTGCCCAACCCCTCCCAACCCTTTCACTTATACATCATGGAGTCTCGAGGGATGGCACTTGGAGTCCTGCGACAGTGTCATGGCCCAGATCTTATCTCCATAGCTTATCTGTCCAAACAGCTAGTCCTCACGGCACGAGGCTGGTTCCCCTGCTTCGGGGCTGTCATGACAGCAGCCATCCTGGCCCAAGAGGCTCAAAAGCTTACTCTCCAGGGACAACTCACTGTCTCCTCCCCTCACTGCCTCATCTACTCTCACACCAATCCTTACACTTACTAGCACCATCTCATCTGCAACTGTTTCATCTAACCTTTATTAAAAACCCACAAATTACACTTAAACTGTATAAAATCCTTAACCGTGCCTCTCTCTTCCCATACTCGGATTCTCCCCTCTCATACTCTTGTGTAAAATCTCTAGAGGACCTCATACCTACAGCCACCACAGTCCATGCACAACCCCTTCCCAAGCCCCAGCATACACGATTCATGAACAAAAGCTCCTCCTCAAACTGTAAAGGCTCACGAGCAAGATACACTATCGTCTCCCTAACCCAGGTCATTAAAGCTAACCCTCTCCCCCAGACACTTCTTCCCAAAAGGCAGAACTCATAGCCCTCACCTGCGCCCTAACCCTAGCCTCGAGAGCCACAGCCAATATTTACACCAACTCCAAATACCCTATCACATAGTCCACCACCATGCTGCCATCTGGGCAGAATGGGGCTTTATCACCACTAAGAGCTCCTCCATCCAAAATAATAAATTGATTCTAAAACTTCTCAAGGCCTCCTCTCTCCCTACCCAAGTAGCCATTTTACACTGTCGAGGCCACCAGCAAGTCGCTGATTAGATCACTGAGGGAAATGACAGAGCGGACAAGGGAGCTAAGTTGGCGGCCCTATGACCCTGGCCACCCCCAGACCCTCTCCCCAATACTCTCCTTACTGAGTCCCCCCACTCATCCAACAGACCTCTCATATTCTGATTCCCAATACAGAAAACTCACACAACACGGGGCCACCCCTGGACCTAAGGGGTGGCTCCTGCTAGAAGGGAAATACGGTCTCCCTGATGGCCAGGCAAAACAGTTTCTCACTGACACACACAATTCCCTACACGTCAGATGGAGACCACTTAAAAGACTCTTAAATCCCATCATATACTACCCTGGACTAACTATCCTCCTCCAAGAGATCTCTTCACGCTGCTCTGTCTGTTCTAAAACAAACCCTCAGGGCTCACTCTGCCCACCCCTCACCTTCACCCCACACCAATTCAGGGAATCACTACCAGGGGAAGATTGGCAGATTAACTTCACTCACATGCCCAGACACGAAAAACTCCACTTCATCCTGACCTGGGTAGATACTTTTATGGGATGGATAGAAGCTTTCCCCACCACACACAGAACAGCCAACACTGTAACTCAAGTCCTCCTCTCACACATTATCCCTCGGTTTGGCCTGCCAAGGTCCATCCAATCAGACAGTGGGCCAGGCTCATGTCCAAAATAACCCAACATGTCTCCCAGGCCCTCAACACACAGTGGGCCTTACATACTCCTTACCATCTTCAATCATCTGGTAAAGTGGAAAAGGCTCACTGTCTCCTTAAGGCTCAGATCTCCAAACTCTCCATAGAGACTCAACAGTCGTGGCCCTGTCTGCTCCCTGCTGCCCTCACCCACTTAATGTGCCACCCCTCGCCAGCCGACTGGCCTAAGCCCTTCGAGCTTATGTATGGTCGCCCCTTCCTCCTTCACCTACTGCCCTCTTCGGACTCCAGCCCTCTGACAAACTATCTACCTCTGCTGTCTCTGTCCCAACACTTCCTCCGCACTCACGCCGACCAGTACCTACCCAAACCCTCTGCAACAGTCCCAGACCTCCATCAATCCCCTGGTGATCAGGTCCTCCTAAAAAATCTCACCCCCTCCGCCGCTTCTAGGTGGACCAGACCCTTCACCGTCATCCTCACAATGCCCACTGCAGTCAAATTGTTAGAAAAAAACCTTGGGTGCACCTGTCCCACCTCAAGCGAGCGCCCCAGCCTACCAGCGATGGACAGCTGAGGCTATATACCCCACCTGGCTTCTCCTTGGTCGCTCCCCTATCCTTTCCTCTGTTCCCGAGTAACTCTAACTCTCCTCCCTTTCCAGAAAAGCCCAGCCACCACCCTCTGGGGCATTACCATTATTCTCCTCCTTACCCCATCCCAGATTTCTGCTTCCTTTCAAGATTACCTCCAGCCCCAGTAGAGGTTCCTTGTTTCCAACAGAACCTCCATCACTGACTCTCAAGAAAATAAATTACAGAACCTCAACCAGACAGACTGCCCTTCCTCTGGCTGCAGGAACTCTATAGTCCTATACTTTGACGCCTCCAGCCTCCAGCCAAGACCTCTCTGTGACACTCTGGGATGGGAACAAACATACACAAATAATCACAAATACCTCTACATTTAAAAAAACCTGATCCCATGTATGCCCCGACTGTTGCCAAACATGGGGAGACGTCGTCCTCCACTCCTCTACCCAAAACAGTTTTACCTTTTACATACACTGTGATCCTGAGCGTCCTTACTCCATTCAGCCAGGACCTAATACAGACCCTCTCACTATTTCCTTTCCCTTGCTCCCCACAAAAAAAATCCCCTGTGAGACCCAACAATACAGTCCTGTTGCCCTTACAATTCACAACCCCAATGCTAAAACTTAGACCAACAAAATATATCTGGAGATCAGAGTTGACAAAACAGGGCTTGACCCCTGCAGCCAGCTCCTCATTTCCAAACAACTCCATACCCCACCTACCCCTCCACCCAGCATCCAACAAATCCAAAATAACATTAAAAAACTTAACCAGACCCTCAACCCTCCTTTGCCTTCCCTAAACAACATCACCTGCTTGTTTTTACACATCCTTTCTCTACATTCAACCTCTCTAGCTACTAAATATACACTAGCCTAAACCAACCACGCCTAGTGGCCATCCCCACCCAGGCCACCATGCCCCCTCTACATCCAAGGCTCACACCCCCTGCCTCTAAAAGCCATACTGTATACAAAATCAACTCAACATGTCCTGCTCCCCAGAAAACAAAACAAGACTCCCATATAACCACACAAAAACCTATAACACCTCAACCTCAGACCCTCGACCCTTCTTATGTTTTGTTTTTTTTTCTTTTTGTCTTTTTCAGACAGGGTCTCACTGTGCAGTTCAGGTTAGCCTTGAACTCACTTTGTAGCCCAGGCTGGTCTTGAACTCACAGTGATCCTCCTGCCTCAGCCTCGCAAGTGCTGGGATTACAGGCGTGCACCACCACGTCCAGCCCCAACCCTTCTTATGCGGGGACAAAATCTACCTGTGCCTACCCCAGGGAGTACAGTATACGCCTATACTCCTGCCCCCAAACTTCAACATCTACCCAGATGAAAAAATTCCTCGAGGCTTATATGGGGGCTTACATAGGTCAAGACGCACAGCACACATCAGGATCCTCATAGGAACCTCTGTCCCCGGCGCGGCTGCTGGGGCAGCTGAAACAGTCACCAGTGTGGGTCTCCATTTTCAGCAGGCTTACCGCCTAACAGATGATCTTAAACAGGTTGCAAACACTTCTCTCTAGTTCATTCACAGGTTAAACAGCTCACAGCAATGGTGCTCCAAAACAGACATGCCCTTGATCTCCTAACAGCTAAAAAGACAGATACTAGTCTCTTCCTAGGGAAAAATAATGCTGTTTTTTTGCCAACCAGTCCAAAATAATCCAACAAAAGATCCAAGAGCTCAAACAACACGCTCAATCCTACCAAATGGCCAAGTCCCCTACGGGACTTTGGAGTAACCTTCTGCCATGGCTCCTGCCCTTGCTCGGGCCGGTAACAGGCCTCTGCATCATGCTTCTCATAGCCTCTTGTATCATCTCCCTCGTGCGTAACACTGTTCAAAAACTCACAACCCAAAATTTTAACCTTATGCTCCTTTCAGACTTCCCTTTCCAGGCAATACCAACAGACGACCCAGGCGAGTCACCACGAGGACTTCATCCCAGACAACACGCCAACGCCCCTCCTCAACAAAAAATAGCCAGATGATCACTTCACCCTTATCCTTATTAAACAAAGTCAAAAGACCCCCCTCCGCGAGGACTTACTGTTCCCCCGTAACCTCCCCACCTCCTGCCCAACCACAAAAGCCGACCCCACCCATAAAAGTACCAGATGTTCTTGCAAGAAACGACTACTCTAACCACGAAAACCCCTTTCCTGGCTGTTCCGGCCCGCGAGCGCCCTCCCCGAAAAAGCCTTTAAAAACCTAAAGCTTTGCACAGCTCGGGGCTGTCTTGGTCCTCTAGGCAGCCCACCGCGTAGCTCTCCCACCCAATAAAGAGTTCTCTTGTGTCAGAAGGTCCAGTCTGGTTCTGTGTGGGTCTCGGTTCGATCAGTTAGGCCTCCTCTGTTAACCCCTTTCTGCATAGGCTGGGCCAGTTTTGCTAATATTCACAGAGAAGAAGCCGACATCCTCTCAGAATTCTCCTGTGGCTGTTTCCCTGCGGCTCTCAGCCCTGTCCTCTAAGCTGTCCCATCCCTGTGCTGGCCAAAGTGGAAGTCCTTCCCTGCTGATAAACAAGACAGCTGATAGCCAGAGGCCCTAATGCTTTAATTTTCTTTTGTGATTTCAGAGCAGCCTGAACATGCATTCCGTCCCC